CCAAAGTACGGCAAAGTACAACAAAATGGTGGCAAAATACTGCAAAGTGGTGGCAAAGTACTGCAAAGTATAGCAAAGTAATGGCAAATTACTGCAAAGTAGTGGCAAAGTACTGCAAAGTAGTGGCAAAGTTCTGCAAAGTAGTGGCAAAGTACGGCAAAGTACTGGAAAGTAGTGGCAAAGTACGGCAAACTAGTGGCAAAGTACAGCAAAGTAGTGGCAAAGTACTGCAAAGTATTGGCAAAGTATTATTTTGACTATTTTGGGCACCGCCAGCCAATGGTAGCTGTGGTTTCACGCATCTCTGTTGATACTTTGTACTAAGGAACGCAAATCGAGGAACTTTTCTCTAAACTATGACGTACTTCCACTCACCCATGGATCTAAAAATCTTTTTTTTAGCTCCAATGCGTCACTTCCTGAGTCCTATTCGTGAGGTCGTATCTGTGAGGTTCTATTCGTGAGGCATATAGCGTGCGCACACATTAATTGGGTTTGTGAGCGTGAAGCAAGCTGGGAGCGAGCGCCCTATGTGTGGAGAGTGCAAATGCATACGACAGATTTCTTTCAATAACCACTTTGTGTGTTTATTCAAGTTCTACTTCCCGTCTCACCTCCAATGCTACCATAGGTGGTGCTCTAACCACGTAGTATTGTGAATGACAATAGCGGATTTAAGAGAGCAAGTACAATGTAACAGGAATGATAAAACTGAGTTGAATAAGTTTGTTAATATCCAAGTTTTAACGGGGTGAATAAAAGTGTAGAAATTATTGTGAATTATACATGTCATATTAATACAGTAGCAGAGACACTTGTGGATGTATTTTGTATGGTGGATTTACTGCATAATATCTTGAATGACCAACACTTCCAATTTACACCTGGTGTTCTGCAAGAGGTGAGCCAGTTATTTCAATAAAAATGTTGACTATAACGCCCTACCATCCCGCCTGTGACTGGTGGGAAGTTTTAACAGCACATTGAAATAGACATTGAAGAGTTCTAAAAGGCCCAAAGATTGGGATCACTATCTGGGATCACTTTTGCTTGCATATCACGAGGTACCACTAGTTTTTTTTTTTTTTTGCTTTTTAGGAATAGAATATTCAACTCAAAGAGGGCTGGTGAAGTGAACTTATGTAAGAACTACCGACCAGTTTGTCATTGATATTGTGGGACAGCTTTGACAATATGTGTGCGCTTGCACATTGGAACCTACAGAGACATGGTTTAGGTTTGGGGACTCTGTTTTGCCACTCCTTTCCACAAACAGACACATGTGTTGGTGCAGTGGAAAGGACCATTTCCAGTGGTGGCAAAACTCAGCAATATGGAATATCAGATTGACATGAGTGGTGAAGTAAAGCCTTTCCCTTCTATTTTGCTTAAGCAATGTTTAAACTAAAGCAGTATGTCCTGCCATAGAATCAAAACTAGAGCCAGAGGATAAAACTGTACAACCATGTGGTGCCTTACTAATTGTGTCAGTTTCACAGCAAATTCAAACTGTCAATGATGTGAAGGTTAGTGACGGCCTTACTTTGAAGCAAAATGTCGTGGTGAGATGTCTACTTGCCCAGTTTAGTGAAGTACTCGGATTTGCCTGGGAGGACGGACGGGGGTAGCATGTAATTAAGTTGACAACATGTGAGTCAATCAGACAAGGACCCTACATAATAGCACATGCCTTAAAAGACACAGTAAGAGAGGAAATAATAGAACCCTCTGAATACTACTGTCCAATGGTCCCGGGGAAAAAAGAATAACCAATTCAGCTTCTGTATAGATTTCCTGTCATTAAATAGAATCTGTTTTTGATGCTGGACCATTGATCCAGATAAAGAAACTTCACTCTCACAAGATAATTATTTCATCAAGCTAGACCTCAGCACATGGTATTTGCAAATTGAAAAAGAAATCACTGAAAGGTTTGTTTCACTTCTGCTTGATGCCCTTTGACTTGGTAAATGCACAGACATTCATGGACATATTACCAGTCTCTTATATACATGCAGAGAACCAAGAAGGTCAATACAAGGGTGATGTGTTAGGCTTTGCTGTTACAGACCTAAATGTTGAGTTTGTGTATGGTAATGCGCCAGATTATAGGGTCACGCCAAAGCGTGAACCTTTTTTGCAAAATCACGAGCAGTAACTTTTATTATAACACTATCTAAATCGTACTTTGAGCCTATAAACTTTACTTTGTGTTTAGTGCTAAACACCCTTGTTAAGTAAATCAAATATCTCATTGGTGTATATGAGCTTTCATGTGATTGGTCAATGCATGATCAGCTCGTTCATTACTGTGATTTAATCGCAATCTTTTTTAAATACAATTGATTACGATGCTTTGATTACAGTGAGGTAATTTATAATAGTCATGTTAACTTTATTAACTCGCGCCGACGACTGTATGGTGTAACAATTTACTTCTTCTCCAACAGGCAGTGTCAGTACCTAACTGGCGATCTGTGTTGAAAAGTAATCCTTAGTTGTTGCAGCATTGTGTTTACAATGATTGCAGAAGAAGTGAAAACAGACAGGAAACTTTAATTTAGAGCTAGAACATATTAACGCACTTTCACGTAACCAGATTAGTGGCATCCCCATGTCAATAAGTGAAAAGAATATATACTATCTGTCTCTGAAACGTGGCGCAAGGACAACTCACAACTGGATAATTTACATAAATATTCTTTTGAATTTAAATGACCAGATACTGGCAAAGGACTGCTAGATTTGTGATTCCTACATACTAGTACTCCCTGGCTTAGGAATAACTGGTAGCAGTTTGGCGTCATTTATAGAAAGCCAAACACCAAAATATCAGTTTTTAATCAGCCTTCTAATTTTTTTCGAAATTGAACAAAAAATATGAAAACGCAATTTATATTGATGGGCGATTTCAGTATTGACTTTGTAAATGTAGATAGTTTCATTAACCAGCTAATTACCATGTTACAATGTTTAAGTCTTGAACAGATGATCATTGTTTCTATACGAGTCAAAAACTTATCCAATATTGTTATTAATCACATTTACACAAAATTTAGTGCACTGATAAGTATAATGTTGATGCCACTTCAGAAAATAAAAACATTTTAAATCGTATAATTGCGAGATGTTCCAACATGGCTTGCAAAATACCTCATGATAATGGCACCAGTAAAGCACTTATAACAACCACCCAGTACCGCATTCTATGTGTATGCATTCTATGTGTATTCAGATACAATGAAACACTCGTGAGCACATTGCAAGTCGTGCAGGATTTTATTGTTTTCACACAGTTATATGTATTATACAGATAGATAGAAAACCAGTATACTTATACCAAAATGGCAATCACTTAACGGCTTTTTATTAATGGGTATAGAGATCGAAACAAGCAGCTTGGGTTAACCGAGTTGACTTTTTACCTCAATTTATTGATTTTAACCCAGTTTTAATTCAAAAAAGATGCCAATGAGCTTATTGTTGGTGTTTATAGTAGATAATTTGGTAATCCTAGGTAACTATTAAAAATAGCTTGACGTTTCGAGCAGTGGCTTTTTATCTATAGATAGCATCGATGTTATATGGTGTTGCCGATGTGGTACATGCATAAATGAGGTGACTGAAACACTGAGCGTTGTCATGGTGAAGACGTGACACAGTAAAAAGACATGGTACAGTCAAATTTATAATCATGTGAATTACAAGAAAATTTTACATTAAACATATTACTTTTCGACTGGGAAACATAACAATCCAAATTCAAATTTCCCAAATAATGTCCAGAAATCAAACATCTCATATTTTAGTCGTATCTGTCAGTGGCAATACCTATGTTACACTGCTCACGATTTGTAATTGATAAAAAGCATTTAATACATACGAACACAATAGATATAAACCAATCGACTATACTATTTTAAATCACAAGCAAACGTAAGAAATTCAACTCGGGATCAAGGCACGCCACTTCACTGCAGACAGATACACTCCAGGGTACGCTACACACAAAATGACGTGTAGAGAACACCGTTTACCAGCGACTAAATGGTGACTAGATGTATATGGAAAAAAATCTAACATAACCTACAATATATATAGCCATGTACTCATGGTTCGAAATTAACCTACTATAACATATATGGTGATTTTGCATAATTACTATTGATAAATACATCCCTAAACACATCACATATAATCCTATCATAATTCAGCAAGCTTCAGTAAATACATGAAAACTTCGTATGATGAGTCGTTATTAATTATCAATATTTTCGAAAAGATAGAAAACCAAGTGTCACCATGGAAACGAATTAAGTGAGATTTCGTGAATCGTTCCATCCTTTTTGCATACATCTGATCCTCTAACTCTGTTTACCAGTATCACTATAATTACGGTGTTACAGACGCATTAGTAATATAACTACTAATTGTGAAGTAAATACAATATATAGCCTTATGTATACTACGTGAAATGTCCACTAGACTTCATAACCCGAACATATTTGAAACATTAAAATTATAATAATTCTTTGATTCCTAGTGATTTTCCCACAACATGTTAATGTTAATACACTTCAAACATAATATTAAAAATTGATAAACCAATCTGTATAGAGATATTGAAATGTGGCTTTATCACTTGGAACAGAAATTACTTATTTGATATTTATATTTATCGCACATATCATAGCAGTTATATATTGTCATATTACGTAATATAATTTGATTTGTCCATACAAGCAGATTGATCTTTTGACAAGGTGACTGACTATCGCAAAATACATAACTATCTCAATATGTTATTTCACACAATATTTCTAATATCATTAATTTTATAAATCTGAGAAAATATTTAATTAATGAAAAAACACATATATTTTAATTCCAAATTAAACATGTGCTTTTAGAACAACTAGTACTTATTCAGGCTGTTTTGTCTGCTTCGGTAAAATAAGATGAATACAGCTTATCGACTCTCGCTTCCACTTCCACCATAACTTCTTCAAATCGAACTAAGTTTCTGTCTATTTTGTCAAGATATTCAGGAATCCTCAGACTCTGCTGTTCTAAAAATAGAATATATAGAACCAAATATAAGCATCGAAAGTATTATTTCAATACTAAGAAACAAATGAAAAACAACTAACATACAAACAGCAGAACATGAACATCATGGAATAAATAAACACACACACACGCCACACACACACACCACACACCCCCCCCCCCACACACACAAACACCCATACAGGTGTCCAATGAATTGTGGAGCCACTATTGGATTAACGTTTAATATATGAATATATATATATACGATATGAACTCGATTAAAACGCGTTCTTATATAGGGTTGCGTTTTAATTGGAGTTTAATTAAACTCAATTACAATGCAATACAATGGAGAA